CAAAACTGACGTATTCCTCTAACATTTACCACAGGTTCTATCTCGATACCATGTTCAGAACAATCTCTGCACCCTTCTCTAGTATTGTGCAGCACTACTTTGTGCCCGGACTACTTTTGACTACGGGGTTCGCCCATAAATACTGTGTTGTGCGGCCTTAAACGAACTTGGCCTTGAATTTTTTTTCGTTTATACGATAAAACTAGTCAAGATGTGAAACTTGGCCAAATTTTTATTCCACAAATCCGAACGGTTGCTGAGATTTCGGCAACTTTGCACTTCGGCACCTGTCGTAGGGCTAGGTCCCGTACAAGGCCCTAATGACGGGCCATTTAATGGTCTTCTTATCAGGTCAAATTTACTATTCCAGCCGACTTTTTTCTGGCTAGCGGGTATCATTGTTGTATCCTCTCACGTTCTGAGTGTATTTTTAGTTAGTGTAAGTCCGTTTTACGGCGAGAAAGGGGAGGGGGGGTACGCGTTCTCTGGCCAGTGGGGAACTCCCATTGTAAAGCATAGGGGGCGGTCCTAGTGACCGTTGCCATGGCAACGGAGGTCTGACGGTGAAATAAACAGGCGTATTTTACTTCAACCGTCGTCAATACCAGATTTACTAAGCAAATTTCACCGAATTTGACACGGTTTCTTAATTCCCGTGGGGGTTCAATGCCTAGAGCGGATTTTCCACGTCTTGGACCATAGCACTACTTACCACTTAAGCAGCGACACCTAGCTGCAGTTCGAGGTAAAGCTAGTCAGTATTGCCCTGAGGACAGACAGTCACTGAAACGTCGGCGTGTACAGATCCTTGACATATCTACACCTATTTAATTTGTTGTTTCTCGGATTCGCCATGTTCATTTTTTTTCTGATTTGCAAAAAAAAAAATGTTTTAAATCAACTGCAAAATGCTCAATGTTTTTTTTTTCGCCCTGTCGCTTCATATTTTGTCTGAAAAAATCAGAGAAACAACATATTAAATTGTGAATAAGAACCTTATCATACAGTCTCTTACCTACCTAATGAAACTATTCACGGAATAAAGATCTTTGTAAATATATAGCTTCATCAGTCATTGGAAAATTCTTTTAACCTACTAAGTCTATGACATTAGACCCAACTTCCACACCAAGCAGACCGTGGGGCAACCGATAAGCAGCCTAAAGTTAACATCCGGAGGAAGATCAGAAATTAGATTATTTAGAAGAATAATGAAATTTAGGGAGGGACAAGATTTTGGAGTTGGTAGTTTACTTGTGACAGGCGGCAGTTCACCATGCCCGGATCAGGACGCACTGCAATAAAAACAGATTGCAAGAAGACTGGCAATGAAAACATACATTGCCATGGCGACGGTGGTTGGTGTTAGGGTTATTGTTTGCATGGCACTGCCATCATTTCATGATTTTGAGGAAGACTTGGTACCTGTTAAGTCTAGACAGATACAGTGCACTCCTTCCCTGAGTGTACATGTATAGTGAATGAGCCCCCCGGGGTCACAGAAAGTAGGGCCATCCGGGGCAGAGAGGTCTTCCCAAGGGTTTCCAGGAATGTGGGCATAGATGTGGGTCAGAGACATGCCTGTGGACATTCCGCATGCCTGTGGACAAAATTCCTATACAATTCTTAGAATTCTTGCAAACTGCATACAACACTGTACCATTAGGCTCCTCCCTGAGACGTCGCCAAAAAAAGATCAATTTTCCTGTCGAATACCAAACGAATATTGTGGTAGGAGGCCTGCTGTAACAGGCTACCAAACCCCATCTAGCGGTTGTATGGGGCATAGCATGGATTGGTCTACATTAATGGCGACAGTGCCCTTTTACAGTGTGTTACGTCACCTCATTGAGTATGAACCCGAAGATAGTGCCGGATTCTCACATACCAAAGTATAAATAAACGGATTAAATGAACATAAATTACAAACACAACAATATGGATAGTTTTGTTTGAGGCCCTTTTTAATATTCTACACTAGGTAACAGTATATATATATGTTAGGGCGAAAATTAAAATCCACTTTGAAACCTGCCGGGACTAGTGTTTTATGAGCAAGTATACCATAATTTCATGTGGTACAGACAAGACGCTGAATTATTAAGCAATGTTGCCCTAAGGTGCATGATTCTTTTAATTCATGACGAAAATATGGCAGCAGAAATACCAAATTCTATTTTTCTAATATTTGACGTATTAAAGATAAATTCCTGTTATTATGAATATTAAAAACTTTGTCTTTTAACCTCCTCTTTTTCCAGATAGAATTTCATAACGATAAATCAGAACCCTTCAGTCTCACACGTCACTGAACAATCATAGTGGCAGCGACGTTAATAATTAAAGAGTCTGTGACATACCAAAAGTCGATGTATGCATGTCTGGCGTTGTACAAATGCCCCCCTCCCTACGATGGCGTGATGTTTTCAACCCCTCAGAGGTAGCGTTAGTATGATTTATGTAAAGCCAATACTTATTGACCTCAATGTCTTTTTGCAAGCGTTTAAACAAAAGGACGATGTTACGTGCAGAACCCTGATGAAATTTTGATGCATGTAAAAGAATACGGGTCACCGACGCGCTGTGCTCACAAAACGGGAAATACATGATTTGACAGAAAACGCGGTTCAGAACGTTATACATTGTACAACGAAAGCGATGATAAATTTAACACAATCTACAGAAAATTGATGCGCTTCACTGACGAAAGGCATTTGCGTTGAGAGTTTTCTAGTTCAATACTACGATTACATTGTCTAACTTTAAGAATATTTATTTGCTTACCTACATTGATACCTGGCTAGAATATGATTCAAGCAACCGTGCCCTTGGTCTGAATTTGGGGGAGGGGGTCTGAGTTGCTATCGCAAGGGTCTGGAGCGGCTGTCATTCGGCATGAACTCAGGTGACCTTAATAAGACCCCAGGTGCGAAAAGAAATTAGGGAGGACACAGTGTACAAAATACTTTTTTGAACCAGGTTGGGCAACTGGACAACCTGCGGCAAAAATTGCCCATCTGAATTTTAGGTTGCCCCACCTATATGTTACTAGTACTTTCTTCAAATTAAGTAATGTTACATACATAAGCATTTGACAATATTTCTAACAGCATTTAGTTAAGTAATACTAGTAATAGCCATTAATACCTAAAATTAAAAAGCATCACCACAGTGGTGGTGCATAATTTTTTTTGGTTTGGGGGGGGCTTCTTAAAATTCAGGTAGCACACTGGGCTTCCTAGGTTCAAAAGTAGGTTGCCCCAAGTAAAAATTTGGTTGCCCGGGGACTGGGCAACCAGGTATTTTGCACGCTGAGGACACCTACTATTTTTTCTTCTTTTGTGTTCTTTAACGAATGCTCGAATCGTGACTCTTCTCAAACACAGGACCTCCATTTAACGTCCTATCCGGGGAACGTCCCTAACCAAAGCTAGGTACTCATTTCCACCTTAGTGAAGTGAGGAAAGTCTTATAAAGTGTCTTTCCCAATGGCACAACATCAGGGCATGTTAGGAGTTTTGAACCAAAG